CTTTCCAGGAATTCTTCATTAAACTGGAAAATTTAGCATGTATGACGTCGGCCTTGCTCAAATTTGCATGCATTATTTGATTCTTTAGCAGAGCAAGTCGTGAAACAGGTAAAAATGGGATAACTCATAAGACGTGACGATTAAGTCAAACTTGACTAAGCTAGAGATGGCTTCCTTTTTGATGAGTGACTGAAACTGAGAGTAAATGACGTTACAAATCTTGCCTTGAATTGAGCAGTTGATGGGGGTGGAGGTGTGGCAGGCTCATTTAATTCATTAAATTATTTGAAAAAATGAAAATTATTTATCAAAGCTCAATAAAGGCTTTACTAATTCCAATTATTTTACCTAGCAACCCTCAGAAACACTTTTAACAGGTCTAAGTCCTGTTTCCTTCTTAGATGTATATAAACAACGTTGCCACAGCCATTTGAATTAGAATGCAAATTTGTTACCATTCATATGCGTGCCTTCGTTAGTGTCTTCAGTAGTTCGTTCTAGAAAACAGTTTCACAAGTAAGATTTGCACGTCAGTGTCATGTTTGGAAATAAGTATCAAAATGGATTTCACAAATCTAACCTCCATATTTACCTCGAGCTGTGGGAGAAACAGAGCGAGATCATGATAGGGTACAATGTAGATGTTTTTACTAGCGGTGACGGAATTCTCTTTGCAACCCTGAAGCAGTATTAAATGTTGACAGACTTCGTCAAACGAGAGGAGAACAGACCCGGACGGATAGATTTTTGGTTGCTATTTGTTTAATCCGAGAAGTAATGGGTGATCATCAGTTATCAAACACATGGTGAAATCTTTTCACTGACAAGCACTCATACTGTACCGAAAAACAGACCTTATGAAGTTTGATGATTCATCTAAGGAAACAACTCATATCCGTTATTATTGGGAAAATGATGTGCTAAGACCTGGTTCAGATTCATCTTCATCTTCCATCGCCGCTTCTCCTTTTCGGGTCGCGGAGGCAGACGCGTCAGACAGTGCTTCCAACGTTCCTGATCCTGTGCCAGAGTCTGAGCTTTGGCAAAAGACAAATGGCGTCTGGAACAGACTTTTTCCATACCTGGTTCAGATTCCTCTTCATAAATCCAATTCTATAAGCAGACGAATGCGTTGGTTTTAACATAGTCGAAGTATATATATTTCACCATGTTCAAAAAATTGCTCTCTATGTCACCGTGTTCTAGTAGCTGATTCACTTCTTGAAATCCAAATTTCAATGTACGCTTTCTCCTTGCTCATAGATTAGCTTAGATATAGTAGCTTTATTTATTATTACTATTAAAACAACTGCAGCGTTGCACAGATTTCGCTTTTAGTAGATGAAACAATGACTTGCTCATCACCAACTATGTTAAATGT